TTCTCTTCTTTGGAGATTTAGCTCTTTTTCAATCTAGCGATTAATCTATTGTCTATTTGGGCCCAAAGGGAGTGGTGTTGATGTGTCGACTGCCAAGGCGGTTGGCACCGAAACACTTGTCCTCTGCAGTCCTCTTAACAAACAGGTTTGATGCTTGGATAGCAACACACATGTCATGTACACTGTGAAGATATATGTTGCAATGTGACTGCGTTCTTCTTCCCTACAGTTGGATGATGAATGCCAACATCAGCAGCAGCAGTCTCCGCAACTTTATGCCTTGAGGCAAAAGAGTGTGCTGCAAAAGTTGCACTTCACAAACCAGCACCGATGATGGGGCAGTTATTCAGTTCAAGGTTTAAAGTTAAATCATTTCCGTTGGACAGAATTTTCACATTCCATCGCCCCCAGTCCTCTATTCTTAAATTGGCTATTTTTAAGTCGAAATTATTCGTGGTGGACGCGTCACCGGCTCCCTGCAGTGTAACGCACATTCCATGTAACCGCAACATCAAATCCAGCAAGGGACCTTTGTCACCTCTCATCCCTCTGTACTTCCTGTTGTTGATCTCCACTGTACACTATCCGAAATTGGCTCATGGCTTATGCTCATGTCTATACAGTATATTGAAGTTAAAGTGTCAGAGAACCAACCTTTGTTTCCCAGTGCCGAAGTTTTTAGTCGTATTTATAATTAGGGAGGTAAGAAAAGCATAACTCTCCAGCTTGTAACAGCTCAGAGACAGACCTGTATGCAACTACACCGCCTCTGGATTAATCTAGCATTTGTCTGAACACACCATAATTTGGAGAGCTTTGAGCAATCAAATGATGACATGCAACATAGAAATGTGCATCATCCACATAGGAGAGGCGATTGATGCTTTGAATTAGGTAACAATGAGAGAATAAATAGAATATGAGTGGTTTGTGGACTGAGTACAGACCCTTGAGGATCTAACGGTACAGAGAGATGAACTGTTATCGAGCTAGCGTGTTGTTTTTTTGCTTCTAAATGTTGTCGTGACTTCCTGTTATGTAGCTGCTAGCCTTACATTGAAAGACGCACCCATACAACACACCCACAAAAGGTGGAATGTTGCAACAATTTTGGATGAAATATTCGGAATTGCCTTAAGTGACACAAAAGAGACATTAAGATTTATTATGACATATCTGCTGTCATTTAACAAACTTAAAAATGATAAGTAAATAGTTCAAGTTAAGTTAAATAAATCACTATTAAAGCATTGAAAAAAGAGATGCTGCGAAATCCATAATCCACCAATGTAATGTGACACAAAACCAAACGTCAGGATGAGTCATGTTTCAGTGACAATGATGGAACTGTGCAGAGGATCACGTAAAAGGGCTTTTATGACAGTGCCAGTGTAATCAGGAATAACACATGGTCTATTTAATCTGCTCTGCTCCATTCAAGGCCAGCTGAGTGACTTATCCTCTCCATTCAGTGCAAAATCTCCCCATCAATGGCCTCTGCACAAAGAGAGAGGGATGAGTTTTCACTCCACCACGCGAATAATGGAGTTTTGCATTCTTTACAAAACCGAAATAACAAACAAGAGGTCAACTGGAGCACATTATGTATGTTGTTAACTCATATTCATTTCACAGCTCAGAGGACCCTGGTAGGGGGGGTTTGAGGTTTTGGGATTTTCCCTGTAGTATTTATTTTGTTTCATTGTGTTCTATTGACAATCAGACAGAAACATACTGTCATACATTTCATTTTCATTTATTTTTAGCTATAATTTCACTTTGGCCCCTTATATAAATAAAAGAAAACTCAATAAGTGCCTTGTCAATCTACAGAAACATTCAGGTTTATAAAGACCGTGGTGTTACTGGTTCAAACCAGTTTGGCCCGTTTGAAAGCAAAGACCAGCAGGATCTCTGGAGGGATACTACAAGTCTTTCATATAGTTTTGTAAATGTTCTCAGGGGTTTGAACAAGTAAACTTCCACCCACGACCATGAGAGGAATGTGTGACGCTATATTGTCTCTGCAGGGAAACGGCATTGTTTGACAAAGACTTTGTGAGCATGTGATTTCTGATGTCCAACAGTCATTAAGACATAAATCTGTATTTACTGGCAGTGATGCAACGCAAGTACAAAGGTCTGTGGACCAGTGGTTCCCACCCTTTATTAGTCAGATGGATCCCCAGAGCCCTTTCAGGTGAAATTAACACAACCTGTCATGTTCCAAGCATGTTCATTTGAATTTCATAAACTGGATATTAACTGTGTAAAAGTGGATATTGTTCCAATGTTTTTTCTTACAATTGATTATGTCAATGTTAAGGACACTTTGTTTACATTCTCATTACACTCAGATGGAAGTTTCAACCATTTATCCCATTACTTTAAGCTTCCTCACACTCTTACACTTGGTGTTCAGCTGTTATAGCTGACAATATCTGTTTTTGTTTTTTTTGCATTTATACGTTTTCAAATCAGTTGAACTACTCCCAAATCTTCCAACTGCAGAAGTGCCACCTGGGGAACAAATCCACAACGACGTAGTCTCCTGTGAATGTGAGTATTTTTGTGTCTGCATGGATCAAAGACTATATATTTGAGTGTATGTGAGTAAATGGCTGTACACGCATGCACGTATAGGCCCTGTATGTGAAGAATACAGGTAGATTACTTTGAGCTCAAATGGGCCAGGGACACATGGTCACCTAATAAGAAGGAGCTAAGCAGGTATAGGGGACGACGAGCTGCTGAGTCATGATAAGGAGCGACAAAGATAGAGTGTGAGACACGACTCTCGGTCACCTGGTGATGGTGAATCAGTCTGTGAAACAGTGTCTGTAGATGTTTTCAAGTGCCCACGATGAAGAAAGGTGCTGGGTTTTTGGTACACTCGACTCCACTGACCACCTGGACCAATCTCCATGACTCTTTGTGTACATTCAACCTGAGTGACTGGGTACGTACACAATCCTTCGTCAGGGCAGCATTAGGCAGCTATTCGTGGAGCTGCTTGGCTTTGAGCTGCTTGTTAACACCAAGCCCACGTACCATTCATACGCCTGACACAGCAACTCCTCTCTCCCACAGAGATTACACACACACACCAGCACCAACGCCAGACCACAGTCTACTTCAGGCTGAGCACGTTTGCAGCTGGGCCACCAGTAATTCAATTCATGACATGCTTTTTAGTGAGTTCATAGATTAAAAAGCAGTTAAAAGTCGAATAAAACCCAGGAATGACGGGGCGTAACGCAAACATTCTGCATTTTCACAATAGGACACTTGCATAGGTAAAGTGGTCCAACATGAAAGACGATATGCAAAGAATGCAAAGTAGGTTTGAGTTTCGGTGATGCTGTGAATGCAGACGAAAATGCAAAACTGTCAGGAGTCACATACACAAGCTGTGTACCTATGTGTGTGTGGGGAGGGTGCGGAGCAGTAAGTGGTGTACCTGACAGCAGTCACATAGCCAGTCTGGCCGCAGGATGACCAGTCTGAGCCATGACACCCAGTCTACTCATGATCCAGACTTGAGGAAATACCTCATTCAGCTGGCAAATGCCAATGAGTGTGTATGTTTGTGTGAATGAGTGAGAGAGAGGGGGAGAGGAGAAGGCATGCCACTGTATACAGCATCTAGAGTGGCAAATGTTCAGCTCATTTGAGTGGCCAGTTATGTCAAAGATCAGTTAGCATCAAGATTAGCCCAATTCTGTTTTGTGTACATTTCCAAATGTTTTAGTACATAGTGTGCTTTTTAAAAAATGTTTCAAATGCATCATTTTGGTAGTTAGTCTACAACTAGTCACACTCATTGTGCTATGCCGGAAACACAACAAGCTGCAGTGAAGTGCGACTTGCAGCGCTAATTTCATACTTTCTGCAGCCGGGAGGCGTAGGCTACTAGTGTGTTTCAGGTGGGATAAAATGATTTATAACGTTGGCCTCGCTTTGCCACTCCCGGTCTTCTCCACAGCAATAGCAGCAGTTGAGCAAAATGCTCACCGCTACAAAGTAGGAAGCAGTAAAAGTAGCAGCTCATTTGCATCTGTAAAGTGGTGAAAACGTCACAGACATCCAGACACTGGCGCTGACACAGACTGATGTTGTCTGCTCGGATCATGTAAAACGTGACATAGCAGACCTCAAAACCAAAAGTGTCAACTTCCCACTGGGGTACAAACAAGAATAGCATGGCTTATTAAAAAAAAAACACTTGGAAATTACTAGTCAGCAACTGTACATGTAATTAGAGCTTACTGTGTGTTGCTGCTTTGTAATCTGCAAATGAATATGGGTTTGCAAAGTGAAGTTTTCTGCATCATTTCAGAAACAATGTAGATGAATTTTATATTCTTTAATTATTTTTACTTTGTGAAGTTATTAGTGTAAGCCATTATGTTGAGCACGTTAAGATCTCTCTAGAAAGTTCCTGTGTATGTTTGGTGCTTTTATTGTAGAGGATGAGACGGAAGGAGAAAGAGAAAAGAGGTGTGGGTGAATGAAATGTGTGAGAAGGAATAAAGTTGCTGCCATCTTGGCGCCGAATACGGAGCTCCGTGTTTATTATTATCCTAAAGTATAGGCGCAACATAAACCCTCGGCTACATCAGTCAATATTTTCACCAAGTATTCTGCCTGCAAAACATATATATATTTTTTTTTTTAAATCTTCCACAGAACTTGAATTTATCACCACTATACTTGCGATAATCTCATGTTTTGCTCAATCTTTTCAGAGAGAGAGCAAGAGAGGGGGGGACAATTCCACAGTTACATCCTGAATGCACACGGTCACTCAGGATTTGCCTGATAATGGGCGTGCTTCTCATAGCGTGCGACTCGTGAATGGGTGAGATAGTGAAGGCCGGAGTGCCAGGACACGCTGTGTACACTGCAGACTAACTCCGTAAAAGGAAGCGCGATAAGGGTGGACGTAATATGAATGTTGGACTTGGCACAATGGAAATAAGCAAACCACCAACACTGTATATGATCCAGGAGTTCATTTATTGGTCCAGCAGATGCAAAATCAACTGTACAACATACTGTCCCCTCATGCATATTCCTTCAGATTAAAGCAAGGGGCCCCTCGCTCCAAGCATCCAAAACATGAAAATAAATAAAGAATATAATAACAGTTTACAAAAAACTAATTTTCAAGTATCTCGAGCAGAAATGTTAACAAAAGTGTTACCGAGAGAGGCAAGCAGCAGCAGCTTCGTTCTCAACAGATCGGCCTTCCATTAGTACAAAAATACTACGCGCGCATTTTCATTAAAAGACTCCCGAGGAAGTCATCTCCTGTGCAGTTATGTTGTATGTACAATCACATTTACAAAGATATTATTAACAGCACGCGTTGTTATAACAAAAATATAGGTGCTTACATTTGTGCGTAGCATGGCAGCAAAGAGGACATCAAGGGAAACGAACTTGAAGATTAAGAACTCGGCATGCACCGTAGCGTCGAAACTACACACTGAAAAATAAATATTCAAACTGTGAAAAGTGAAATATCGACGTGATATGTGGAGTTATTAGGTGAAACGTGGTGGCCCTTCTCGAGCTGTCGATTCCAAGAGAGATGGCAAGAGAAGCGGCGTCAGGCTTGCAAAACAAGCGCTACAGGCACTCTACGGCAAAAAACACCTTCATCACCGTGACGTGAAAAAAACAAACACAGAAATTCATCCCCGTTGTGCAAAATAATCGCTTATTTTAGAGTTTCAAATGAAGGATTCAATAATTAAATAACAACGCTCTTCATTTTAAAAAGAACAGTGCTTCCGAAGAAGTGCCAAAGAGTTTACAATGTAAACTAAAATCAATATCCTTTTTTAAATCAACTGTGCATTCATAAGTTGGGGGGGGGGGGGGAAAGGGGGGCGGAAAGATTTAACCTCACCGTGAGGGTTGGTCTTTGGTCTCTCCAAAATAATAAACTAGTAGAAACCGGTTTTCTGAGCTGTAACAGTGAAGACTGTCAGTTTAAACGAGTCACAGTTCTCCTCTTTCAGTCTGAATACAATATACACGTGATGCTAAAGGTTTCCCAGAAAACAAAGAAAATGTCTGACAATGGCAAGAAAGGGAGAAAGAGTCTGGCTTCGTAGTGACATGTCTTTGAACAGAAACATCTGATAGGACAGTCATTCAATAATCATGATCCTTTTTGAGTAATAAAAAGTACGGTTACTTGTGTCCATGATTGACAAATTTACGAAAAAGAATTTAAAAAATAACTTCCATTTAACTCTTCCTTGTCGTTTCATGCTCAGTGCGCCTTCGTCAGCGGTCCACTTTCCGGCCTTTAGAGCCACGTGAAAACATCGGTGCAGTTTTATTGGCAGGGCTGCAGGACGTCACGGAGGCCAGACGAGTTTCTCCTCAGGTTCTGTAAGCACAAAAAAAAACAAAAAACAACGTTACGGCTTTAGACGTATTGCGGCAACTATGGACTACGCAACACTCCAGAGATTCAACAACAACAACAACAACAATACAGAAGACTGAACGATACTCTCCTGTACCGTAATCCCTAAACCACAAGTTACATCACCTGTGTTTTCTTTGGCTCTGGCTCCTCAGATGTTTTGAGAGGGTGTGAAAACTGCTACTGAGTTCCTGAGCATGTGAACAGGTTGCTGTGGCTGACTGTGTGTGTGTGTGTGTGTGTACAGAGTTGATCCTTGGGTGATTAGGAGGGAAGCTGACCAAAAAAAAAAAATGTGCTTTTGTTTGCGTTTGATATAACCAACAATACTTTTAATTTAGCTTCTGAATATTGTTTGTTTGTTTGAACCATCGTGGTTTTACTGTTAACATATTTGACTAGCACATCTAGCAGCAGCTAGCTTTAGCCTGTTACATTTGAGTCTTTGCTAAATGAGCCTGCTGGCTGGATAGTTAAGTTTGATTCAAAAACTCCTCTCGTTTAGTATAAACTAAAGAGTTAATGAGCCACAGTATTCTGGTTTAGTCGGGTTGGCAGATATTCATCTGAAGTTATTAGCGTCAGATGAGAACTACAGTATGAAGCAACTGCAAAGCCTCTATGGTGCGTTTACCTTTGAAAGACTAAGAGTGAAACCACTGTCAGATATTAGAGGACGGTTCGTCTTTAAGCGGGACAACAATGGGCCAAAAATAAACCAAAACAGCAGAGACAAGAACAGGAAAGTCAGCATGAGTCAGCGTAGTACAACAAGCCGATTAGGGTGACGACAACAACAATGATGACGGCTGCAGGAATCACAGGAATGTAAACTGGGAAGTGAGGGTTCCCCCGTGAACAAATAGAGCAGGAAAGCTGAGTGGAAACAGCACAGCTACTCCTAAAAACAACGTTCCAGTGACTCAAAGTCTGGAATGCTACAGATTTACTGGCAAAAACAAAAGTCAGTTTATTGAATTATGATGCATTCATCATAAGAAATATTCACAAATATGATTAACATAGGGGTAATACGAGCTGTGTAAATATTAATTATTTTTTCAATTTTGTGACTGAATATTTCTTTACGTAATTTAACATTTAGTGTGAAAAAAAAAAAAAAAAAACTTTTTTTTTTGCTGTTCATTAGATAAATGTCAAGCAGTGAACACTGTGTAAAAGAAGATAAAGCGACAGGAAGAGAGTGGGGGGGGGGGGGGGGGGGGGGGGATGAGATAAGAAAACAAACAGCCAGGAAGCCAGACACACTAGAAGTGAGCAAATACTTACAGGCAAACTTTGCCCAGCCAGTGCTGTAAGGTGCAGAGGAGAAGGCAGCAGAGCAAAACAGGAAACAAGTGAGTGAACATGCATGCAGAGAGGAAACATGAAGGAAATGGGGTTTTTTTAGCATCTCGTGATGTCTTAAATGCTGTTCAGAAGGTTTTCCATCCTGATAAAAAGAGAATTCTGGGTAGAAACGTGAACCTCTTGGCCTTATTGGGCATCAGCTTCTGGTGACTTGAGTCTGAATAATTTGGTTCCGGCTTTAAGAAACCCATATCAGTTAAACCCTAGTAACTCTAAATATGTAATGCTATGAAATCAAATAAGAAAGTTACCTGTCCGGCCAGGGCGAGAGGGAGGTGTGAGGGGCTGCAGAGCGCTAGCGAGGCAACAGATGGCGGCAGCTCCTGGATCGGAGCCTCATCTAGGTCGTCGATGCGAGGCTTCTTGATGTTTGACTCGGGGCTGGTCAGAGGAGTCACGCTGTTCCGCCTGATCAAGGTGCCAGGACCCCTCCTCACCTCCTGCAGGGTCAGAAATATTAAGACGCTTAGTGACGTTTGGAAGTATTGTAGAGTCGTTATTATCTTTATAAAAGAGAGCAAATGAATGTGCAGTTATGGGTGGTTTCATTTAAATAGCTATCGATCTCCAAGAACACAATGGAGGCCCCAGCTGCACAATAGTTACACATGACATTGACTTCAGTTCTGTGTGGACGAGAAGAACATTTCCAGTAATCAGTTCATTGAGCGTTACCTCCGGCCTGTCTCTGTGGGTGTTCACCGCCTCCACATTCAGAGAGATGGACTCCACCTTGCATCCGTAGGCGACCGGGGTGAGCTTCAGCACTGTGTGGAGGGGACACTTCAGGTAGGGCATCTCCTCTGGAACAAAGGAAGAAGAGGGGAAACCAGAGACGTGAACACAGGTGCATCAGATTAGAGTATCATAAATCTTTTTTTTTTTTTTTTTTTTGACAGTGGCATGGAACCAGAGGGCTTGCGGGGACTTATAGGACCCACCTGCACTCTTATCCAGGAAGTAGGCCAGCAGGCAGCGCATGACGGCCTGGTGGCAGATCACCAGGACATTCTCTTGCCTCTCCAGGTCCATGATGACCGGCTCCAGCCGCTGGACCAGGTCCTGGTAGGACTGCAATCAGGATCAGGAAGGCGGGGTTGTTAATTTTTGTCCCTTTGTTCGATCTTAGTTATATTAAATACCCCGGAAGTAGGGTTGAATTCTTATATCTAAAACGATAATCTGGATTTGTTTTAAATAAATGCCAGTGGTGATGGACCGTGTGTGTACCTCTCCAGCAGGGTAGCGATAGTAGTATTTATCTTCATCTCTCAAAGCAAACTCTTCCAGGAATTTCTCCTTCATCTCGTCGTACGTCATCTCTTCACACATCCCCTAAAAAGAACAAAGAAGGAATATGGTATTCAGTTTTGGCAACAACTTACGTGGTTGTGTGATGCGTGCGCAATAGTGCGATACTCACAGCGTCTATCTCGTTGAGAGCCTTCCACTGTTCGTACGGGACTCCCAGGTGCTCTGCGGTCTGGATGCTGCGACACAGCTGGCTGGTCCAAACCTTCAGATCCGTCAGCTGCTGCTCCTCCACAAACCGAGCCAGGGCAGATGAAAACTACAGCGGGGAGGGAACAGTATTCAGCACCTTAAGTTCGGTTCGTTGATAATCTATTTCACGGTTCTGCCTGCGGCTGCTCGTACCTGCTTTCCCCGCGGCGAGAGGCCTGCGTCGCCACCCAGCCGCCCCTCCAGGTTGTCGGTGCTCTCTCCGTGCTGACACAGGTAGATGGTGCGGGGCTGGACGTGGATGTTCATCAGGTAGTAGACGATCTTGCTCTGGATGTGATCCTGGATTTGGTTGACGAGGAAACGCCGACCCACGTCTATCACCTGGATGAAGGAGAGATCCCTGGAGGACGGACAGGATGTGGTGAGCGATTTTGTATTGGGTATCGCAGACGTCCTGACAAAAACCCATGCTGATCATTTACCTGTCGTGCTGATCGGGGTCCAGAGGTTGGTAGCTGGTTTTGTAGCATTCAATTCTCTTCTGGAAATCCAACATGGCGTCCGTCTGGTTGCAGTCCCGGTAGTCGGGGCACGACACCTTCACTTCCTGCACAGGGAAGAAGATTGTCAGATGGCAAAAAACACGCCTGATCCCAGAGAGATTTATAATCACTTCATGTCATTTCAAACAGCGCCGGGGTCCATTGTGATGTCTGAGCATGACTCACCATGATGTTCGACTCGATGACGCTGGGATCATCGCACACGGACTCGATGAAAAAGATCTGGGCACAGAAAGGAGACTTGGTTGAAAGTCGCCACATTGGCGTTGATGTCATGTCTTGACTCCTCAGGTCGCCATAGCAACACTTACCTTGAAGTCGTTATCACTGCCGAACTGGAGGATCATGTCTCGCCTCTCCCTTGTCGTGTTTGTGGCATCGAAGACCTGAAAAGGGACACGAAACAGCGTGATGGGTTTTCATCTGGACAAACTTTTTTGTAAAAAGCGCAAGATGCATGATGGGAAACTCACCGCTACTTGGCCTCCCTCGTCTTTCAAATAGGACTTGACGTCCCTCAAGGCTGCTAAGGCACATTGCCTAAAGAGAGGGAGAGACAGCGATTTTCATTTTGCGTTATCAATAAAGAATAAACAGTAGATTACTCTTATTATGCACATGTTTGTTTTATGTGTTGAACTCACTGCCTGATTTTAACGGCACACTCGTTATCGGGCTTGAAGAAGTCATAAGAGCTGTAGTTCTTGACCGCCTCCCTGCGGTACTCCCCCACGTTAAAGACTACAACACCACACACACAGAAGAAGAAGAAGAAGCAACAACAAGCATGAACACGATGTCCTGGAGGCAGTAACGTGACTCGATGCTGCCGGGCAAAACACTTGGAGGAACAGAGGGACGTCCTGTAAGCTACTGAACAGGCTGTGGGTGAGTGTGTTGCGTTACATTTGGTGGGCATGCCGATCCAGTTGAGGTAGCGGGTGAGTTTCTTGGACATGTACGTCTTGCCTCGAGCCGGAAGACCCACCATCACGATGACGGTGGGGGGGTTGGCGAAGTGCGGGGCACCGGCCGCTGCGGAGCAGGATGGGCAAGGGGAGGGAATGCGTTACGACAACTTACAGTCAACAAGTCAGAGAAGGAGCAGAGGAAGGCAAGTACAGAATCAACATCTTGAATTTACATCTTGTGCTCTGCAACCTGAGAGGGCCCGTACACCTGGCTGCCGGGGAGCTGGCGCTAATAGCAGCTGCTCGCCAAGAGCCGCAAACCCACCCGAACCCATTTAGTCAAAACAACCTCTGCACCTGTAATCTCTATTCATCTCCATGCTGACACCTTCTCAGCGGGCACGTGGCCGTCTGCTGTCGCCTTTCACTTCCACCTCACTGCACATATGACCCAATTTTGCACGTATGAACGGGCTTACACAACCCAGAAGTTGTTTTTACTTGACCGAATCTCCCCACCCCCTGAGGCCCGTGGGAGATTGTATATCATATGATATGTGGCAGCAGGTTGCTTCATGTTGCCTTGGATTCACAAAATGGGTGGCTGGGCAGAGGAATGCAGGGCGTCGATACCACGTGGAAAATATGTGCCGTGTGTCATTGAAATTGCGAGTAAGCTAGTGTAGATTGTCACATTTCCTCAGCTTCAAAAGGGTCAGTGATCGTCGCCCTGAGAGGTAATTGATGATCGCTAATCCTGTTTGCATAACAAAACAGCCACGCTGCTTAAACTGAAAAACGGATCACTCTAAGTCTACCCTCGGACATCTGGTTCATCACCCCCCCC